CTATCAATACCATCCCGTGCAATATCTATGATACGATGACACTTATGCAACACATCAGTGGCATGATCATCCCTAACCTGCTCCTCCTCTAGGATCTCCTGATGAACTGGCCTCAGTGGATTCTCTGGAGCATCTTGTACCATGTATGGATGGGACTCCCAGAAGAACCATATCATATAACCATACTCGTAGCTCCAATCATCTGGTGCTACGGTACTCCTAGCCTCATCAGGAACAAGATGATTCTCAAAATCATCAAACAAAGCATTCATACCACTTTGTTTCATCACTAGAGGAGCAGATACAACAAGATCACAGGGAATGATCTGGGTGTACCTGAACTGACGCACCACTCGCTCAGGCATATAAGCAGCTCTCTTGTGAATCCTGCAGGCCAACCAACCCGTAAACAACACAACCTCGTCAAATGGTATCGTCACACGGTGGTCGATGTATGAACAAAAGTGTAGGTCCTCATGCACCAGTCGATCAATGTACACCCATAATGACTAAGTCGCCTAGTTACCTCAGAGCGGATCGTATGCGCAGGCACTTGACTTATCTTTAGTATAAACCTGTAGAAAGTGACCAACCGAGATGCAGGAGAAGTGTTGTAGGATCCATCCCTGAAATAACAAAATTAAATAGTTAGTTCCAAAATCAAAAAAATTAACAAAAACCCACAAAGACCAAGAATTTATACTGTTAGGAGTGACATGCTTCCAGTCATCTACCTCGTATTCCACTTAATTCCTTCATCCAACTTCGTATACAAGTAAACTAGGAAGCAGCCCCCCCCCCCCCCAGTTCCACTGGATGATCGTCTCAAAATCATCAAAGAACCGTAGGTACATGGTATCGGTATAAGTAGCACTGGTGTCCATAAAAATCCGTGTGCCAATAAGATACAACAGATATGCTCTCATGGAAAACCTCCGGTGAATGGTAACATGTTTGGGATCACCATCAGCCTCTCGTGTACGCCTAATCTTATCCGTGAACACCCTATCCAAATAACTATACTTGACGTGGAAACCACGAGTTTTATCAATCTCAGGGGTAACTCCCAACTGCTCAACCAACATATCCAACATCTCATATTTATCAATCCTCTCATGATCCAAGAATGTTCTCTAATCGGAATATGAAGCATACACGCGACACCGTCGACTGTGATCGTCATCTCACCATGTGGTAGATGAAACAATGACGTCTCATGGTGCAACCTCTCAACGAACACGTTAATTATACCTCGGTTGATAACTCCGTATCCACACAGGGCCAAATCTTTCAACTTTGTTCTCAATAAAAGCTTATTAAACCATGGATCAACAGGGGGTACGAGTATTCTGATCTTCCGCCCATGGTTAATGACCTTAAGTGTATCACGTTCCTGCATAAATATTTTGACGAATTTAATCAATAAACCAAAATTCCAAATTCATAATAAAAATGTAATAGAAATCAAAATTCATACATGTCTGTCCCAGATATATCTAGCAACATAGTCAGGGTAAAGAGATAAATCAGACGACCATCCTCCAAAAGCCTGAGGCACCGTAGGTGCAACCTGTGCTGGTGGTGTCGCATGTGCAGGCTCAGGTGTCGCAGGTGCAGGCTCAGGTGTCGCAGGTGCAGGCTCAGGTGTCGCAGGTGCAGGCTCAGGTGTCGCTCCATGAGCCTGGGATGACTAAGGAGCCGCCTCAGGTGTCGTTTGGGACTGAGGCTGTGATGGAGGTTGTGGTTGGGCCTCTGGTGTCGCCTGAGAACCAGACGTTTCTCCCGCCTCAAATACACTCAGTGGAGAAGTGTGTCTGTGGGAGGACGAGGGCGGAGACAGATGAACTGGAGAATCCCACCTACTATGGGAGGACGACGTAGTAGGAGTAGAAGCATGAACACCAGAGATTTGAGTTGTAAGAGGTGCATCCGATACAGCCTGTGCAGAGGCAGGATGAGGCTGGGTTGTATGACTCCTTTCTCTTTGCACAGAGGCTTGTTGTACAACCCTGTCGAGCCTCAATCGAGATGGTCTCTCAGTCATTTCTCTTTTAGAAGTACGAAAAAAATGTTAACTTAAGAATCAGTGTTCAAAACAAAGCTGAAAACAGATACAGACTATAACCAAAAATGCACTTGCAATTTTGTTCTTGCTAAAAACGAAAATACATTTTCGGTTCTCCCTGCGATTTCATAGGTCCGTTAATGGCGACCTAGACCACCAAACGAGCCCACGAATACCTCATTAATCATGAAAATGACATTAACAACACCTTTTTAATGATTCCTAATATTGATAACAAACTAAAAAAAACCCAATTTCTAACCTAAATCCTACATTTTAGTAGATTATACATGAACTCTAAAAAGTTCAAAAACAACTTACTTGATTGATTGTAGTTGATTTTCCTTGATTGATTGTGGTTGGATGCTTGATTTAACTGATGTTTGATGATTTAATTGATGCTTGATGATTAGGTGAAAATGAGTGAAATTCTGGCAACAGATACTCAATGTCACAGTGAATGTTATGACACTGTATCTGACACACTTCAAGACAGTAATTTTAAAAGCAGTAAAGAACACAATCAATTGTTTACCCAGTTCAGTGTGAAACAACACCTACTCTGGGGGCTACCAAGCCAGGGAGGAAATGCACTATAAGAGATATTAATTTAGGAATAAACCAACCAGTTTATCTCCTTCACTTAAGACCTATCCAATGCAACTTCAATCTAAGTTCAACTTAAACCTGAGTTCCTACTCACTCCCCCTCAATCACAGCAGTGATACTAAACTATTGATTAATGAAATTATGAAGATACTCTTCAGTACACACACTTGATTTTGCTTCAAAGCTTTAATCAAGTGACACAAAACACTCGTGCTCTAAAGCTTTGAGTGATACACAACCCTTACAATCAAATCCTGCTCCAAGTCAATTATTACAATGATAATTGCTTGGCTCACAGTAGTTACAACTATACAATCCCTTATTGATCTTCTGTCAAAAAGTGTCCTTCACCAAACGTCTTCATGAGGAATATATAGGCAACTATTCTTCAGTTAGGGCTTCCACGAAAATAGGTAGGGTTAATTAGAGTTAACCTCAAGACTTGGTCATAGGTCTTTAATAACCAGATTAGGGTTAAGCAGAGTTAACCTAATGTCCACGTGAGTATCTGATCTGGACTGTATAAACCAGATTCCTGAAAATTCTCAGGAGTAACAAATCTGCACAAATGTTAGATCAGTACAGGATGTCTTAACATTGGTTATGACAACAAGAATCATGTTCACTGATTTTGGTAGAATGCAATAAATATGATCATTGCTTAATGATCAGCTAAACACTCATATTGAATAGCTCCTGTATGACATTCTTTTTCTGCAGAATGTACCTTGTATCCCAGAATGTTATGACATCAGTCATGACATTCACAAAACTGGTTTTACCAAAAAAAATGTCAACAACCAAACACTTACAATGAGTTTGAGAAAGTTTTTGAGTGTCTTGTGTTTTTGTTTTGAAATGTTACTGATATGGAAGGGAAGAGGCAGCGCGCCTTTTAGTGCGTCCAAAAACCAAAAATATATTTACGGTTGTAAATAAAAAATGTACTTACGCTTTGCACCCAATTCTTCATACACATTTCATGTCTAACATGGTGCGTATCGAAAATATACTTTCGATTTTGAGAGACATTTAAAGAATTTCACGTGGTATGCTAGAAAAGTATGGGGTGAAATAAGAAATTCCCAAAGTTTGTTAGTTAGTGTTCCTACCTGGACTCGGCCATGAAAATAGTGGCCCATTAAGATATTAGGTTGTAGTAAGAATTACCCGATGCCAACAAATAATCATGATGAATAACAAGATCAAAGACAATAAAGGAAAGTGATCTAAAGAAGCAAAAGAATAAGATCTCCGAACCATATTAAATTCTGCCTTAGACAAACATTCAATAAACTGGCAAGATCTAATGAAGGCCGTTAAATAAAATAACGAATGATACGACAACACTTGTCTAGAAAATTCGGCTACAAGAAGGGATAAACATCGTAATCAAGGTACGCATTTTCGAAAACTTAGAAACATTCTTCATTGCCTTATTCATTTACTGACTTGAATGTTAGAGTGTTTTCAAATATCGCCATTTCAATTCAGGCGAAAGGGGTCTTTAAAAAACAACTATAGTGAGTGTCGTTATCTTATCAGACCAAAACCTCCTATCAAAGTATTTCTAAATGAGCAAGATCAGCAGAACTTAATATAAGTTGGTTAATTTGTTAATGTCTTACAAACTCTATATATAACAACTCATATAACCATATTTGATATCTTCAACAATATAATATCACGTTCTTAATATAATTCAGTATGATGAATTCGTTCATTATTTCCATTTTTACATTGTGACTTCAATCTTTCTTTAATTTATGAAAGTAACAGTGATATTCTTTACTTTTTTACAAGTCAATTTTATAGCATTGAATGATGTCAAACTATAATTCTACATTTAGTTTAGATTTATGCATTGAGGAGACATGTAATTGATGTTTAGTTCATAACATATTTTGGAATATCCATCGGTTTTAGTAATCGACCTGTAATGGTCATTTGTGCTATTATGAGAAATTATTTGCATTGTTCATATTTCATACTCTTAGTGTATGTTCTTACTGTCAAAATAATTTACAAGTAACGATAGTATTTTCTTGTGAACTCACATGAATGAAGATAATACATTCATCTTCAATTTGCATGTACAACCCATAAAGCTTTGCTATGGATCAAAGAAGGCTTTAAATAATCATCTCAAAGCATTTTACGCGTAATATTGACATCTGAGTATGCTAGCGAAGCGAGAATCATAAAAATAAAAACCTCTCTGGCTTGCTTAAGGGACAGCATAGATTATACAAGACTTCTATTGATATTATTTACTATTTGTATGTCCCCATTTGGTCCCAAACAAAATCTGATATATGATGTCTCTTCATCTTCCTTTCTGCATTGCACAAAATGCAATTAAAACTGCACATAAATCAAAACTGTTAGACAACATTCATATACTACTGCAAGAAAAAGAGAGGAGAAAGGATAAGATAACTGAACACAAGCATCCATATCTGCAACAATTGAACAAAGCATTTAGAATGACAAAGCTTCTATGCCTTTTGTCGAAAAACGACATGTACTTTATGGCCAAAAACATTAGAAGAGTATCAAAAATAGAGACCAAAGCATAAGAAGGCTCGCACAGCACCCCATGGTATGTAGAAACCCTCAACTGTACACAATACCATAGGGCAATATAAACAGTTATTTGAACATATGAAATGATGAAAGATCAGAGCTTACCAATCAAGCAAAGGATAATAACTATCCAGACAGCTATTTGAACAGGCCGGTTGTACTGCATTTGGTATTGAGATCTTTGAAGCTGTCTTTGGAAAGCCCCGTACCACCCCTGGAGTGGCTTATTATAACATCCATCACAACTATGAAGGCAAAGCTTACTTGTTTCATTGCAATCATCTATGGCCTTTTGAGTGAAAAAATAAGTATTAATCAACTTAGCCAATGCATTAAAAATAACTCGAGAAAATGTCTATTTTAACTGAGTCAAAAAAGAAGATTAAAACTCACCCCGTCGTATTCGGTTGACGGTAGTGGTGCATTATCAGTTTCTTGATGATTATCCATTGCTTTCAGCTTCCTATAACCACTCTTCGGCCACTTAAACTTAGAAATGGATTCCACGGAACCAAAAAATCTAGAGACACTGGCTACCTTATGCATAGGAGTATGACCAGAAGAATCTTTAGAAGAAGTCGATTGTTGCGCATCATCCAAAACAGCAATTTTCCAAGAACTAATATCAGCATCAGCGCTAGCCACCCTGCGATGTCCATGTGGTTTCTCCTCCACCGCAACCGCTGCTCTAACCGAATTTCTATCACCTAATTGTGGATTCACACCATTTCTCCCAGTAAATCTAACCGGCAGTTTACCACCAGAAGGCGACAACGGCGTCCCTGAAAGAAACAATGCAAGCTCATTTCGCTCTCTTTCATCCAGCGACACCCAAGGCGGAGACGCTTTTCTACCTAAAGGAACAGATTCATGCAGCTGTAACAAATTCTCCACTTTCGAAATCTTGCCTTCAATCGCAGCAACAAAATCTTGATGCCTATTTCTAGCATCATCACTGGAGCTTTTGCTATAACTCGACTTCACCGCCCGTTGAAATTCATCTAACTGCATTGCACACCAACTTCAACTTCAACAATACACTCATTATTATTGTCACAACCCTCTATGTTGTTATGACCGCTCACGCGAAACATAACCCAGAGAGAGTTGTGACAATTATCAAATTTAAAAAAGGATCATAATGATGAATTGATGAATTACCTGCCACTTAGCAGTGCCCATGGCAGTATGAAGATCTCTTCGAAGTTCATCAGAGTTCCAAGTACTGGACGCATTTTTCATTGCATGAATCCATATCCTATACGTGGATTCTACCCTTCAAACAAAAAATCAAATATTTAAATTCAAAATGATTAAAGAGAAAAAGGGAAAAACAAAACATAATTGGAATAATAATAATAATAATACCTATCAGCAGATTCTTGAACTTCTTCAGCGGCGTTAAAGAAAGGATCTTTTTCCCATCGATCAAAAATCGAAGCCATGAAATGAAATTTAATAATCAAAATTTATTTGATAACAATGATGAATCCAATTTAACGAAAACCTAAAAAGTTGAATCCAGAAGCGTAATTAAGAATGTTGTTTATTTTTGACAAGTGTAATAAACCCAAAATCTATCGAAGGAAAAACTATGGGTGATATCCATGTGATTTGGAACGGCGTCGTTTTCTGCAATTTATAGGAAAGTTAAGATACGTAATTTGATATGATACATGGGTCTTGCAATTTAAAGATAACCATAAGATCATGAAAATTTATTATTGAACGTTAATGTATGTCTTATTTTCTATCAGATTATTATTTTTTTTTTTTGGATATTCTTGATTTTCTCTCAGATTGTATTTGAAAAGAAAAATGTTATTTTTGTCATAAATTACACTTACATCGTATTTCAATATTTATCATATTAATAAACAATAAAATATTATGATATTAAAATAATATTTTAAAAAACATATATATTTTTATTTATTCTTTTAAAATTATTGGATTAATTAATTTTATTATATTAAATTTTATATTTTATTAACCAATTTTACTTCACTATTAAAAATTATTTTTAAAAATCTGAATAGTTTATTAACTAACTTTATAATTTTGTTAACTAATTTTTTATATTTTATTAATTAATTTTATTTTACTATTAAAATTATTTTTAAAATTTGAGTGTGTATTAATCAAATTCATCACTTAGTTAGTCAATTTTATTTCATTATTAAAAATTATTGTTCACAAATTATTTATGAATATTATTCACGTATTTTTCACACACTATTTACGATATTGTTCACAATACTGTTTATAAATATATTTTTTTATTCAAAAAAAATATTATTTACCGTATAAATACAATAAACAATATTTATTATAAGTATTAGTGTTAAATTGTGGTGTAAGAATAACATTCCGCATTTGAAAATTATATACGATAATGTCACAAAATGAATTTTTTTTAATCAATATGTCACATTTTTAAAAACCACTCGCCCATCTGATGGACCAATCGTTGCTCCCTTTTTTCTTCTTTGAAGGCTCGCCCACTCAATGGACGAGCGTGTGAAGCAAATTGTTTTCTTTGTTTTATAATATTATTTTATTTTAATATTTTGTAATTATTATTATTTAATTTAATATTAATATTTATTATTATTTTTAAATATTAAGGTATTAATTAATATATATTGAATATTAATTAAAAATATTTTATTATTTTAGTATTAATGAAAATACAAAAATATCACACATTAAAAACAGTGTTTCATATTGTCACGTTTTTAGAGCATGGTCGGCCATCCATTGGACGAGCTGATTAATATTTTAGCTATTTTCTCTCGCTATAAGTAGGATTGTTTTCTCATTAGTTTCTCACGTCACTGACCACCAATATCTTCATTTCAGTCTTAAATATGTCTTTAGTCACACTTCCAACGTTTCAACTTATTAAAAGAGATGCAAACCGTTTTTTTCCGCCAACAAAGCTTTTGATGAAGATCAAATTCTAGAACACACAGACCTTCGAACATTTGCAGAGGCACTTGATCTGCTGGTTAGACAAATAAATTTCTGACGGTGAACAAATCAGGAAAATTGAGAGGCAAGTTACGGTGTTCGGCCCAAATGGAGTAACTCGTTCTTGGAAAACTGTGAAAAATGACGTCGGTGTCCTTATGATGATGCTAACACCAGCCGATATTATATTGATGATTGTAATCTCTTAGATATGTTGATGTGTTGATTCGTTTTATTAGCTTATATTGTTGTTGTTTTCTTAGTGGTTGTCTTTATTTTGTTGTACTTGAATGTTATTTTTTAAAATTGAAATGAGAACTGAATTAGAAAGACATGATATTATATAGCTAAAATATTGATGCAAACACAATGGCCTATTATAGATGGACCTGCTACATTTGGACATTTTCTATGCATATGGCCTATTTCCCAACAGATCTCACGCCTTCTCTTTTCTTTTTCTACATCGTCCATTTCGATTTTAATTCGAGTACTATTTGGACGTCCATTCTTCTTCCTTTTCATAGTCTCCTCATTGTAAATAGTAAATCCTCTATATTATGGTCAGTTTTCCTGGTGCAGAAGTCCAAAGAGCAATTAGTGTTAATGGAGTAAAAAGTATTGGAGGATGTGTTCTCCTTCTTTCCATTTGGGTATTCTGGCGTATACCACTAGTTGCTCATAGGAGTACCGTAGTGTCATCTTATCCATATGGAGTAAGGTTAATTTAAGTTATAACATCTCTTTATTTTTATTTTTATGACATTTCTTTATTTTGACATCTTTTTATTTTAAAAATGCAAGATTTGCTCAACAAGGTATGAAATACCAAAAAAACCCTCGCGCATATCTACATGGACATTGAGACGCATTTGATCACATGGTTTTGACCGATGTAAGTTTGTTTTCAAACTATCTCTCCACGTTTTCATCTACATGATATGTAATTACAATCTAACAAATAAATTTCATGCAACAGTTTTTGTGGAGCTCATACCCTGAATACCCCACGTGTGTTCGTAAGGATAGTCTGGTTTGGATTGCAAAGACATATATTATATGTTTTCATATTGTCGAAATGCATCAAGCGGATAGGGTCAAACTTCAGTTTGAATTTGAACAAGAAATCTCTTCTCCACCTAGATGTCTTGCGAAACACCACGTCTTAGAAATGCAAGATACATTGCATCTTCATTGACGCAACGCGAACATCGATGATGACGAGGAGTGAAAAAAAGAAGAGAATTGGTATTGGGTGGGAACATTGTAAATTGTGAGTATGCCTACAACAAACAATATATGCAATGGTTTAGATCAATTTCATTAATTCATCTTTCTCAGCAACAATTTTTAAACGACCCCCGTCAATATGTCTCATCTTCAACACAATAAATCGCCTAGCCGCATATATATCAAGAGATTCCCCATATGAACCCCCGACAATTTCACTCCCAAACAAACTCACTCCCCCAACAAAAATACCATCACAACTAAACTACACAACAACACACATTGTAACGCGGTGGGAGAACTGACTTGGTTGTTTTGCGTTTGATCGCAACTGTTGTGGTTAACAAGAGCCGCCACTGACTTTTCTTTTATCCAAAAGGAAAGGCTGAAAAGAACAGGAAAGACCTTTGAGATGTTTTCTTGAGTTCGAGGGGTAGATTATGAAAAGGGAAGGTATTAGCACCCTTTTCATCCATGGTTTTCCATGGGCTCTTAGTTACTTTCTAGATCACTTGCTTTTGTTTGAAAATGTGCTTTGTGTGGTTTTTGAAAGTATTTTGTAAAGATGTCATTGTTTAGGCAAACTTTGTAAAGATTCTCGTTCGTAAGAATGTATACAAAGTGTTTGATCTTTTAAAAATGTTTTCAAGTTTGAAAGATGTTTTTGAAAGTGTTGATGTTTTGTTTTAAAAATAGAAAGGATGTTTTTATTTTGAAATTGAGCAAGCAACTAGGAGCATTCTACCTACTCAAAAGTCTTTCATGTTCATTTTCTCTTTCCTTTGACATTGTTATCTTACCATTGATTTGGTAAGTAACCCTATCTTTGGATGTAAAAGGGACGGGCGCGGGTCATCGTATAACCATGATTATCAATGTTGTAAGATATCTTAACATTTTCTTTAGGGACTAATATCATTTTGAAAGACAACATGGATATCGTCATCGAGGGACTATGATCTTGTATTTTGCTTGTTTTTGCTAAGATACCTCACATGCATAATATGGCCATTTTTGTAAGGCAACAAAGTGGGTTTACCCTAAGGGTGTATGTGTGCAAGTGTATTGGTTTACATGCTTGATTTGTCTTGATTAGGATTTGCTACTAGTTGGTTTTAATCTTTCCATACAAAACCATAATTACTAGCATTTGTATATAAAGCATTTAAATTGCGAAAAGTAAAAATACTAAGCTATTACATGAATGGCCAAAGGTTGTGGTTCAGGAGATTCAGAGGTTTGAGCCTCAGAGTTTTGAGTCTCAAGTTGTGGAGATTGTGCATGTTGAGGAGAAGGTGGATTATTATCTGGTTGAGGAGAGGAAGGTTGTGGGATTTCTGGTTGTGGATTGGGAGAGAGTGAAGTTTCTGGTATAGGTGAAAGTGGAATGTCAGGTTGTGGTGAGATGGGAATTTCTGGTTTTGGATTTGGATTTTCTGTTTGGGGAGCGGAAGAGTGTTGTTCTATATCAGAAAGAACTTGTGCAAGTTCTGGTTCTGGTATGGTTGCAGTGTTTGGATTTTGTGGTTTGGAGCGGGATCTTCTGAGAGTTAATGACTCAGAAGGGTCAAAGTCAATGTCAAAATCTTCAAAGGTTTGGGGTGTTGGGATATCAGCTGGAGTTGGAGTGGGAGTAGGAATAGATATGGAAACAGCAGGTGAATCTAAAACAGATACAAAAACAGAATTACCTCTTTTCTTTGGAGTCTGTTGTGATGATCCTTCTGGAGCAGCTTTTCTCTTCTTAGTCTTCTTCAGAACCACCTCTGGTGCCTTCTGCTGAAGATCTTGAATGTTTAGATTGGGTGCTGTTCCATCAGCTTTACAAGCATCCAAATATCTCAGAATTATTTGAGGCTTGGAGTCAATCTCTGAGAACATAGGGAAGTCGTCCAGAGGGACTCTTCTGCTGGAGATTTCAGCAAAAGGAGTGACGCTGGGCTCCTTCTTAATGTTCTCTATCAACTTCATCTTCTTTAGATTCTTGGCATTCAGTTGCTTTCCAACAGAAGGTTCCAGGGTGCTGATCTCTTGTGCCTCTGTCAAGTGTTCAATCAGCCTATTCTCAGTCAAAATATCTGATATCAATCTGCCCAAGGGTATCCAATCCCTTTTAGTGCTTTCATCTTCTCTTGTCTCCTTGACGCTTGTTTTCAGATGGTTGAACAGAAGATGAGCTAGATTAATCTTTACCCTCTGAGAAATAAAATGGATCAGAAACTGCTGATCTATGTTTATGTAA